TTTATAATACAAAAACTGTGGTAAAAGGAGGCTTACACTTGTGTATGTGGTTAACTGCATGCTTTGGTGTACACATTTCAGTTAACTTATCTTCGTAGAGGAATAATAAAGACATTTCACCCTGCTTTTTATAACACTACTACTTACCTATGTAAAATTTGCATTTTCTGAGTGTATGAAAAACCCTTCATGCAAAGTTAACTGTACTAATTACCTGAGCTATAAATTATTGTACCCCAAAGACTTCATAGCATTATTACTCCATTAATAGTCTGCAAAATAAGCTTATGCAAAGCCACACTCATTCTCTTTTGAGGAACTTCTATTTAAATCTACTACATGCAGCAGTAGACTTTCAGAATCACACCGTGGCTTAGTACACACTAATAGCTGGCTGCCTTTATAAGCTAATGTGACAAGATTTGTGATATACACATTATAGCATAATTGAAGCAAAAAGCCTTCTCCAAACATCATGCATCTCACTTGCACCTACTTTAATTGACAAGCTAATGTATTGCTATATGCATTGTCCTCTGGCCTTTAAAAAAAAATAAAAAAAATCCCAAACCTCTTGAGGTCAGCACTGCAGATTCTAATAAAAATCTCCTGAAACTTTAAGGAATTAAATTATCACTGGGCTTCACAGTAAGGAGAAAAACTAAAGAAAGAGTGGAGTGGTGGAATAAAAGTATAAAAAAAGCTTAGCAAGACACACAAACAATAACCAGTAAAATTTGTCAAAGCACATAGGTCAATTAGATCAGACATATATGGTTAAGAGATGCAAGACTTCAAAGGGCTACTCACAGACATGGAGATAGAACAATACTTGGTCCCAAATACTAAATTAAATTCTCCAGCTAGTCCTAATTCATTCTATAAAAGGATGTATCAGTGCCATGTTCCAGAAACTGCCTTGTTCTCCACTAAGTGTGTTACCTGAGAACTCCTACAGTCACTAACAGTGATATTTTCCTCAGTGTTCTTGAAGGCAGACACAAAATCCAGTACTTTATTAAAAGATCTGGACCTCTTACGCCAATAAGAGCATTCCAAATCTTGCAGTAGGAAAAATAACAAGATAATGGTTATATTAAATAGATCCTTCAATTTCCAAGGTATCTGTGAATTAACTTTCTGTATGCACACAGCAAAGAATCTGTAAGCATCGCTTCAGCAAAAGCACTCTTCCCCAAAGCATTAATCTTCACATTGAAAAGTAGTCATTGTCAGAGCTATGACACATCTTTGCTATTTACCCTAAAAATCTGTTAGGAGGATGAGGTTATAAACCACACTAAGTTCTGCACATAAGGTTGCAAATTGCAGTTCCTCTCACCTAGTTACTAAGAGGATCTGAGTTGCATGTTCAGTAAAGAAGTTGTGTTCCAGAAAATTCCCTTTACAAAAAAAAGTCAGGACTCATGACTATATAAAGATGGTTTCTTTTTAGACTTGCATCAAACACTGCAAGTGCATTTTAACACTGCAAGTGCATTTTTCCCAGAGGGAAAAAAGCCACAGACTTGATTTACAAACAAGCATAGGCTTCTATTTTCTTCAGCACAGATTTAACTATCGTATTCAGTGGCTATCAATGTTTTCTAAGAACATCACCAGTTAGACAGCTCTTCATGAACACAGCAGCCATTTAAAGAGAACAGCCTACTTTCACAGTCAATCAGGTACAACCTCAGATCAAAGATCAATTAAAAGCTGTAAAAAAACACGTTCTGATCGACATTGCATGTTTTCTGATGTCACTTCCTTACAAAATAAAAACCTTCACTGTTAGGAGATATTAAATTCTCCTAAGTTCCAATAGACCAACCAAATTTAAAAAAAAACACACTATTTTGGGCAAACAGAGATGTTTACCAGACAATCTTACAAAACTTCTCAGGTATTACTTTACAAAGAGCTGTCCTATCAAATTAAATTAATTTCTGGCACCTATCATTACACTTGTCACTTCTTCTAACCAAGACAGACAGCTGGTCTAGAAATAGTTACAGTAATTACTACTGCTCACCTGGAAGCTACTAAACTCTTTTCCCCCCCAACTGAATCACAGTAAACAAACCTCGTGTCACCTCACCACAGTACAAAAAAAAAATAATCAAGACAACTTTGAACTACCCCTGCAGAAGACTGAGCGCTTGCTTCTAAATGACATAGGAGACCAAAGTTATCACAGCATTAACCAAGAATAGTTACTAACAATTTACAGGCACTGGCTAAACAATGGCAAACATTGACTAAGGAATTGTTCTATACACACCTGCAAAAGCTCATCTGTCTACACTCCTAATTGCTCTTCCTAAGGCTACATCTGAACTGCAAATCTTTGACAGGCCAACCTGGCCGCTTAAAATGACAATTTCTCAGGTATCTTTTCCCAGATTACACTGAAGCCAGCTAGTTTTACAGTAGACTGCATGAATTGATGCCAACACATTTTCATTTCACAATAATATGGGTAGCTGGTCTTTACCTGACATACCTTCTCATTAAACACTCAGCCAACTTCATATTCTGCAATACCATAACTCTCTGCATTAGTCCTGCACTACTGCCAATATTTAAGTCCCCAGCCTTATCCTGAAAATATTTTAGCCATAATTCCAACTACCTTTTAAATGTGCAACAATGGCCTATAAAGATCTAAATCCATCAGTTCTCCTTTTTATGCTCATTTTATATTTAAGGCACTGAAGTAAAATAGCATCCATTCAGTGATGCAGAGAACTGAACAACAAAGCAAATTATTCCTAGAAGTAGCAGCTTTTTGGTTTTCAGACTTGAAGGAATCAGTGTAGTCTGTATTTTAGTGAAATAACCTTTATAACTCAAGATCCTTTATTGATAATGGATTATTTTTCTAATTTCATTGTTCTAGTGCTAATGTGTTTCATTTAACTCTCTAATGGAGACTGTTGTCTTAGCCTAGTTTTCAGATATAAAATTACACATAAACCAGGAAAAGAAACTTTTTTTTTTTTGACACCTGTAGATACAAGAAATCCTCAGCTGAACTCCACCTTCTGCTATGCTCAACAATTTTATTAGGGACTTACAGACTGATTTCTGAATCACTAGCCACATCTTATGGACCTATGGTATCTGCTTCAAATGATTATGACACTAAAATACTCTTTTTTATAACAACGAAGGATTTGAAATAAAATTACTAGAACAACTGAGGGGAGGCTACAGAAAGGACTACAATAAAGTTATTTGAAACATTCCCGGCTGAGGATGTTTAAACTGTTATGTTAGTTAATACCTATTCCTTCTTGCACAAGCCATTATAAAATCTAACAGTACTGGTATCGTATGTCTGGACACCTGTGTGCCAACTAGTTGTCTTTTAAACATTTGCCAGACTTCAGTTCCATGCCTCCATAGCAATCAGATCTTACTGTTGTGGTCTGCTTAAACCCAGACTTTTTTTAGAAAGAGTTACCACCTACAAACTTTATATCAAATAAACTACATACAGTGCAACTGACTAGAATGTTTTTACACAGACATGTAGAAGTGTTTATACTAGTTTTTTCAACCAATACAGAAGATGTTGTGTGCATTGGCAGATATGGAAAGAAAAAAATTATCCCTAACCAATACAGATGAAATTTTTCCTGCATCCTGAAAAAACTTCAAAATGTTCTTAAAACCACTACGTTTTTCAAGTGAAATTTGAATAAGCTGACTGGAATTGTGCTGTCAAATTCAAACTCCATTTAAAAATAGCAAGAACTCTAAAAAACCCTAACAACCTATTCCAGAAACAACACTGAAGTCTAGGTTTCTTCCCTTCTGAAGTCTGTTAAATCTAGACTGCCTTGGCTTGATATTCGTTCTCTACAAGCCATTTAAAAAGAATTAAAAAATACAGAATTTGTTCAATCTAAGACTTTTAGTGTGGAGCTGGCCCTCCTGTTCTGCAGCTGCTACTGCATTCAACATCCTGAAATGTCTTACTACAGAGCTGGAGAGGATCACTCACTTCAGTGTTTTCCAAAACCTTCATTTTTCACATGAAGTTCAAAATAAGTCTTTCCCCCTTCTCCCCTCCTTCCATATGTTATATAGCAATCAAGATCTACTACATACTTCTTCAAACTGCCTGGTTTTGGCAAGTAATTTACTCACTGAGCTAATCAGTGATTAAGCTTTTTTTTTTAAAAAAAGAAAGTTCTTAAATTTGTTCATCATCTCCTTATCAGCTCATGTTAACCAGCTGCTCCCCTCGCCACCCCACTTGAACTGCAAGCCCCAATACAGCTTCCACAAGAAGTCTGCACATGGCATTACTGGGACTGCTTCAAGGACAAAACACCTGCCATTCCCACTTCACAAAGGTAAGATTTTTTAGTCCCAGCATGACCTCCAGTATGCATATAAACATCTTATATTTACCCATTCTTCTTTCATCAAAATATGTACTTTCCAATTACAGAAAAATATCACCAGACCATTATGGATTCAAAACAAATATCTAATGGTCCAAACAAGATTTCCATCTTGTGATCTCTGACCTTCCTCATTAATCTCTCCTTGAGTTTTATGAAGCTTAGTGTCTTATATCTCACAAAACATATTTCTAGTTGATCACATAAGCGATCTCGGTGGCTGTAACTCCAAGACAAAGTAAAAAGCATAAAATTAACATAATTACCAAAAAGGTGAGAACAACATATTTGCAAGCTTAGAAATACAAATTTTTACCTCAGTTGTAATGCTACTGGCAGCTGTATTTAAAATATATCCAGTTTTCCAGCAAAATGGTGTAAGCAAAACAATTTGGTTAGCAAAGCAGAAATACTGCATGAACTGCAACTTCATTAACAAATTTCAAAACATCATTTTAGTGAGGCATTTTAGTGAGGTTAAAGAGCCTGGGTTTCTAAATTTCAAGCCAACTAGACTTTAAAATAAGTTCACTTTCATAAGTTTAGAGCCAGAACAAACCATGTCCAAACTACATATTCCAATTTTTATAAAAATTAAGGATTAACATTTATTATACATCTAGCTTTCCACATCCATGTGGGGACAAGGAACCGGAATGTACATAACTATAAGCAGTGCAAAAGTGGTGCCAGTGCGAAGTCACAGATGCACAATAAAGTGATAATACAAGACTAGAGAAAATGAAGCTGTGGATGTTGAGAATGGAGACAAAAAAAAAAAAATCAAACAAGGAAAAATATGAGGGAAGAGGGCAGGAAAGAGGAGAGACGGATGTTTAATAATGCCCATGTTGCTGCAAAGATAAAACTAATGGCACAAAACAATGTTTCTTGTAGAACAAAAATCCAATAGCAATGAGTCTTTATTAACTTTTAGTCACCTGACATGAGGAAAGTGTCTCTTGCATTAAAATAGTCATCAATGTAAATGGCAGCATGGCTGAACAAGTCCTTTTCAATGGTAACAAACATCCCACATAGTAAAGTCACTTCAACACAGCCTCATGACAATTCCCACATCAAAACAGTACTTTATTTTATATTTTTTTGCCTCATCATTACTCCCACATTAAGATCTTTCAGCTGTCAAGTGTACAAGGTGAAGAAAAAGGTTCTCAGTCAGCAAACACGAGTGCATCAGGAAGTATCTCCAAAATACACCACTTCGGATCTGCTGGGTCCCAAGTCCATCCTTGAACACTGGGCTTCCAGCACCAAGTGTAGCACACTACTAAGGCTACACAACTATGTTAGCTTATTAATTCTGCATGTATCAGGCCGAACAATGTGTCAACCTGCAACAGACTGAGCATTATAACTGAAAATGGGAAAAGATTCACTCTATTGAACTTCACATCATTATTTGATGTTAAAACAATGAGGCAAATCCCAACAGTATATACAAAAACCAGCTTTGCTTTTACAAAAGATTTTGTTTCCCATATTGATTAATCCAGGCAGCTAACTCATTGGTTTATGCAACTTTATTGAAGAAAATAAATCAATTACTAGTAGAGCTATTAGTTGATCACTCATCCATTGACAACTTGCATCATTTATTCAGTGCTATATTAAACAGTGTTTTGGAAGACAGATTAACTAATAGCTCCAAGCCTCCTAACAAAATTTAAATGAATTACAAAAATGTTCTTAGACCCTATTTTGGAATACAAGGGATGTTTGACTTCCAATTTCCATTCTCTGTAAAACAAGAACTGGTCATTCCTTTATTGACATGCATAAGATACATCACATTTTCTGTTCTGCTGATGCTATAGATTCAGTACCAATTCTCCAGACACATCAGTTATGAGCAAAAGTGTATACTAAAACCTCAGTTCTCTAACACTGCAAGGTTTGGAACAAGATGGATGTTGCTACAGCAATGTTACTTCTTTGATGGGAGAAAACTGAACATCCATCTCCCCTCCCCCCTTCAGGTGATATCTTCAGAATCTGTTAGAGCAGTGAGGAATGTTTGTTTTTAATCTCATAACCAAGTTAGAATGAAGACATTGGCCACATATTACACATGCTCCATTAAAAAAATTCTGAATCTTGGGCAATTGTTCTTGTGTAACTACTTTACAGATTCTAAAAGCAGTTATTGTCCAAAGCTGGAAGAACTAAAGTCTTCTCAGATGAGCATGTGCATGAATGGAAGGAGGTAAACAAAAAAAATAAAAAAGATGAGGTCTGATAGGGGAGCAGCCGGATAAGAAAATCAAAAAAGGAACAGTAATTTAAAGTTTATTCCAGCTATAATGCAGGTTATTCTGACTTTAAGGTAGCATCACATGGCATACTTCTGAGTCCATTCCCGAGATATTCTGTTGTACCTGCAAACAAAATGAGGAATTTAATTAGTGTCAGCATGACAACGGCAATTTCCTGAACAGTTAATGATTAAGTATCACTTTATCTCCCTATTCTCTTCACACTAAGAGAAGCTTCTATGTATAGTAAGATATACCTGAACTGAAGAAAAAAACAAAAAAGGACCTAATCACAGAATGGTTTGAGATGGAAGGGACCTTAAAGATAATCTAGCTCCAATCCCCCTGCTGTGGGCAGGGACAACTCCCACTAGACCAGGTTCCAAGCCTCATCCAACCTGCCCTTGAACACCGCCAGGGATGGGGCAGCCACAACTTCCCTGGGCAATCTGTTTTATTGTCTCACCACCCTCACACCGAAGAATTTCTTCCTAATGTCTAACCTCAATCTCCCCTCTCCCACTCTAGACTAACAGGGATATTCTCTAATTTATATGGAACACTTCAAATTCAAGACAACTAGATTTGCTAGAATTGTGTTGTGAAGAACTACTGAAGGTGAGAGAACAGAGACCACCTGGGGTGTGACAGGCAAAGGGAGCATGTTGTTTAAATACTGTTCTTAGGTGAAGATTACAGAGTGCCACGTGCCATAAGTAAAGATTACTTGGTTAACATCATAATTGGATACAGAATGTCAAATTTACCATTTTAAAGTAAAACAACACTAAGCATTTCTTCACACTTAATATTCTCTTGTCACATGAATATACTGCTCAAACAATTTTTAAAAAGAATATTAAAACAACACTTGAGTACACAATTTCCACAGGAAAAAAGCTGACAATTAGTTTATACTCCATGCTTGTCAGTAAGAAGTTAATTTTCAATTATGCAAGCAGAACATAATCCCCACGTTTTCCTCGGTTATAGGTAGAAGACAGACCCTGCTGAATAACAAAGTTTAAATTTCGACAGTTTAAATTCACCAACATCTATGGCATGAGATCTTGCTACAAGGCACCAACCACCTTTAAGAAAATTCTGACAAAACCTGGGTAAATACTTACCAGAACAAGCTGACAAGTTGGCTCAAAACTAATTATTTCACACTATATTTTTTTTGGCCATGCAAGAGCAATATCTGTGAGAAATAGTGACTAGCCAATACATTTCACACTAACCACAGATCAAGCTGTTAAATATCCAAGTTCAGTAACTGGTGCATCCATTATCTGTTAGTTAATCCAGTGCCTTAGAGCATGCAGCACCCAAGTGCTGACAAGTTTCCATTCTGTTAAATGCACCATGATGTGCAGATATTCTTACCCTACAGCATAGCGTATTTCTCTGTCCACTCTCTTGCTAACCTATTGTACCTAATTGGACAAGTATATTTAGCATTAATAGATATGTGTGTGGGTATACATATATATATAAACAAAGTCTACTTCATATAATTCTATCTGTGCAAAAATTTTAAAAGCAGGTAAGGAAAGAAAAAAGTTGTTTCAACACAGATAGGAAAAATGTTCAAGCATTTTTTCAAGGGGAGCACCAAAATTAAAGGCCAAGCTGCTAGCAAAAGAAAGAACCAACATAACAAAGCTATCTTCAAGATGAAGTTCTAACTATATTTTATTTATGCATCGTAAGCAACACATAACTTTAAAATACTGCCATGCATCTCCTTTACCCACAACTTGAAAGACACTAAGCCTCTTTGTTTTTTAATTATGCATTGCCAAGAATAGGTACTGCTTGAACACACAAGTTCTCTCCATCTCAGTCACAAAAGACTCACTCAACACAAGTGCTGTCTGACAATGCACTCTTACCAAGTTTGTTAAAATACTGGTCTTACGCAACTCTGTACTTACTTGTCTCTGTCTGTTTTATAGATACGTGCAATCTCTGGCACTAGTGGGTCATCTGGATTTGGATCACATAACAGTGAACAAATGGATAAGAGAACTGTAAAAAAAGAAAATCCTCAATAGTAAAACAAGAGCAACAATCTGAAACAACGGAGCACAGATCTTTGCGTTAGCACAACGTAAGCACAGGAGAACCTAAGAAGCCTTCTGCTGACACATGGCCAAAATAAATTTGTAACCCAGTCTAAATAAAAAGCTCAGAACGACTTAAAAGTTTGCAAGAACTATTTGTTTCCTATTTCCCAACACTTACAGCTGTCAGTAAGCACACAAGCTAACAGCACTGTTGTCCCCTGCACTATGATGCAATGTAGCAGCCAACAAAAACATATTATGTATTCTGATGACCAGCATATTCAATGGTTTTAATCACTAGAACTTCACCACTATTTTCTAATAGTCTATAGACTAAATTCTTTTTCTGTTGTATGTAAGGTAGAAATATGTTGGTCTGCACTGATAAAACCACATGTCATAAAATAAAGGAGTAACACTGTTGTAGGCAGCTATAAGGACTTCATCCTCTATTCTCACAGCAGCTTTGAAAGAAAAACAGTACTGACAGCATTAAAATGTAAGGAATCCACAGTCAAATTACAAACCTACTCCTTGGACAGATAGGAATTACAAGTTATAGACAAAGGAGCACTTTGATGTATCTTCTGAAGCCAGTGACCACTGACTTTGAGGCAAAACGAAATTTGATAATCATGAAAATATTTGAGAATTAACTGTTATTTACTATAATAAAACAAAGAATGCTGCAAAGCTTCTACTGCAGGACAGCATCAGCTTATCCTGATGTATTATCAGTAAGCTCAGCTCATGAAGTAATGTAATACCATACCAGTGTACAGCAGCAGAAAGCAACATGTGTTGCTTTTATATTTTAACAGTTCTTTTAATCATCTGCCACAAAGATACGCCAATATAACTCCACATGTTATTTTTACAGGTTCACTCAAAAAAATCATGCGGATTTCATTATTAAAAACTGACTTTAAATTAATCTTTACAATAATATGCAAATCTGTATCTACACAGACACCTGCAAACAAGCAGTTTCTCAGCCTTAGCTCAAATACACCAGCCTGTTTCAATTCAAATGCTGGCAGAGTCCTCTGAGATCAAGCTAGTAAGCTCTGCTAAGAATACTGAAGCAAATAAGTGGCCAAAGTCCTAAACAGCCATGTATCAAAAGGTGTTAGAAAAAAACATCCAATAAAAGCATGGCAAGATATCATTATCAAATTGGCAAAACACAGGCTAGAATGAGTAAGGGTAATCAAGAGACTGGTAAGAACTAAAAACAATCAAAACTGAAAGCACAGTATTCAACATAATAAAGAAACATTTCTCTTTCACTAAAGTTACCTTTAGAAATAGTTAAAGCAGGAGACCACTGTGATCTTAGAATATCAAGACAAATGCTGCCATTACTGTTAATATTTGGATGATAGATTCTTGTTGTAAATGCAACCTGCAACAAAAAAAATATGCGGAGTGTGTTTTGGTCTATGACAACAATGACATTACCCTTTCTTCTCAGTCAACCTTTTAGTCAATTCAATTTACTTTAAAAGAAAAGGATTAAGCAGTTAAACTGCATCAAATTCATGGAAATGCACCACAACCTCTCAGTTTCCACGTGCTCTATTTCCAACAGAGAGAGGGCAAGTATGAGGCTGTGTTATAGTCACAGGTGCCTGCATCATGAAGACATTCGACAGAAATGCCTGAACCATGGTAACACTGCTATCACAGAGCTAAAGAATTTTAAACACTGCAGTCACTCCAAGTGCACACTTTTGTATTGACTGAAAAGTGGAAGACAATGCTAGCAGCTGATACAGCCACAAAAAAAGAGCAAATTTCACAATTACTGTAAGATTCTAACGGATACAGTCTTCACTGATTTTAGGCACTGACCAAGTTAACTGCTATCCATAGTATCACATTCCTACAGACCAACCGTAATAGCTACACTGTCACCAACAGTCCACTCAGTAGGAATTCTATTATAGTAACACATAGCTAGCAAGTTTTCATATAAATTAAGAAAAACAGAAATAAACCCAAAACCATTCAGAATTCACATATATGAATTTGCTCCTGAAATACATCCTAATACACCCATTCTTGTGGTAGTCAGAGGGACCTACCATCTAAGATACAACAGGAAGTGAGAAATTGACAATATTACAAAACACATGCTGACAATTTCCATCCTGTACTCAGTTCTTTAAAAAACAATAATTTCACAAATGAGAAAGCAATACTTACCTTAGGTGGTTTGAAAGGGTAGTCTGTAGGAAAGTGAATTGTCAAGAAGAATACACCACCCTGATATGGACTGTCATTCTGTCAAAGCAAACAAATAATTCTCCTATTATAATCTTCATGACTAAATATCACTCCATATGCCGTTTTTAAATAAATAAAAGGAGAGAAATTTGTTTAAAGAACCAAACTGTTCAACCCACCAATACAAGAGAGATGCAATCAAAATTCAATTACTACTTCCTAAGGTAAGTGATACAGAAAAGACACGGGTGACTTTCTGTATGGACCTCTCCCAGCTAATGCTTCATAGAAAACAGCTTATCTGACAATTGACACAGGACAACTTGACAAAAGCATCCAAAAGCCTCTGAGACAGCTCCAAGAAGTAATGTGATAACAGCGGTGGGGGGGAGGGGAAGGTTGCTGTCAGGTTCAATAACCTCGAGTTCTGTGTTTTGAGCTCATTTGTTATAACCACCCAAGTTCAGTGGCCATGGACAGCTCTAAGGGCCTCTCATTCCCTCCTAAATGCAGTCTTTAGCTTAGGCATGGCTCAGCCCTGCAGAAAGCCTGTGAATACACAGCTGAGGCCTTGCTCCTCGCAAAAAAAAACAACCAAAAAAGCAAAAACCAAGAGCTTCCAACCCTACTAGGACCACCAAACAAAGAAAAAAAACAAACAACCCATCAAGATTAAAGTGAATTCTTCCTCCCTTTCTGTAGTAGAAATTCACTGTAATCTAGTATGGAAGAGTATTTTAAATTTCCTTGTTCCAAGGAAACAATTTTGGGGTAATTAATTCAAGCGTTAACTATTAGCAGTAACGCAACATATGGAAACAAAAAAGCTGATAGTAAGCAGAGAATAAAAGGAGTCACTAAACAGGGATTCTCTAAGTTAGTAGTTAGAAAAAGATGTGAGAAGTTTTTACTAGAAAATACAACTAAGTTTCTGAAACAGATCTAATGATTTCATTGTTTGACCTGAAGATGACAATGCTTTTAAATTCCAGATTCAAGACTAGGGAAAATGAAAGACATGCAGAGTTCAATTCTGAATCATTTGTTAATTAAATTTTCAAATTAACTGCAAAAACACTTCACCAATGTAAGGAAACAACCACATCTTACTAAAATACCAGAAAATGAAATTCTGCTACACAAGTGACTAAAATCTGAAAACATGTAGCTTATACCTTAATCAATCTCTGCTGAAAAGCTAGCAATCAAGACAACCTCTTCTACTTGAGCAACCAGAGCACATACTCTAGGGATACATTTTAGCCATTACAGAAACCCCTCTTAGACTGTCTGAAACCAATGCAAGCTCCCTTACACCAAAGAAAATTACAGCCTTATTGCAGAAATGGAAGACAAGATGATTGGTTCCAAAATCCTTGTCTTTTATTAAAGGCACTAAGCAATGCCCCAGAAGCAACTACTAACACCACAATTTAGTCAGGATACTGGCCAATCTAGAAAATAGAACGTAGACCTTTTGACACCACAAAAAAACACATGGGAAAATAGAAGCTGTACATTATTAAATCAGAAGGGGAAGCTAAAATAATCCCAATTTTAATTCAAGTGATGTGTAATACCTTATGACTATGCAGACACCAACCATGTAAAATCATACTTAGTATAGTGCAGAACACTCCTTGCCATTTAAGCATGAATACAGCCATTAAACAATTTTATCTTTTTGAGGCACCTAGTTACAATCAGTAAGGACCAGGGACTTTGGAATGGGAGAATCATTTTTCCAGTCAGGTGACCCTCTAATAACCACACTTCCCACAAAGATCTTGTAAACCCTCACATAAATACAAAGCTATATATAAATCAGGGCAATTCAGCATCACTGATATTTAATTCCTACACTGTAGTCTCACCAGAAGCATCACTTGGTGGCTGCACATCTACTCACATCCAATATTTGTCTTCTCAAGTTACAGAAAGTTTTGTTTTCTAAATATAGATAACCAGCCCTGAGAAATTCAGATGTCAAGTGTTTGCAGGTTATGTTTTCAGTAAAGGCAAACATCTGCCTTCTGTAGTCCAACAAGGAAAAAGTCACATTCAGGTTTCAGATGCTTACCAAACATTTAACAGACTTTTTCCTTTAGTTGTAACTGGAACCTCACATTCCACTGTGAGTGACTTTTTACCCTTCCATTCCTAAAAGTATTCCACATCTCAGTACATAACACCAGATCAAATAAGGATTCCCTGTTCTGTTTCAAGATCCACACAAAAGTATCCCAACCAACATGCCTGACACTGGGACCAGATCTCAGTACAAAGCTCATTCTAGATTCAAACTTCAGGAAAAGTTAGATGTAAACAAAGTTTATAGATATTAAGTGATGCCTAACATTGCTCTAGACATCATTTCAGCTGAAATACATGCCATCATAAAACATTCCAGCAATAATAAAATAATAATCAAACTGATTATTTCCCCCCCCCCTTCATTTTCTGCTACCTCTAGAACTAAAGCCTAATACAGGTCTTTACTCCCTAATACAGGGAGTTAAAGAGAAGGAAAGCAAAAAAAAAAAATCCAGTTTTCTCCTGAATAAGAGTTACTAGTTTAGAATTACATCACAAGAATTAGAATACTTACAGGTCCCATAATTGTGGCTTGCCAATGAAACACTACAAAAGAAAAACTCCGCATTATTATCTATGCATGATATGCTTTGAGTTAGCAGAGCAAAACATAAAACTTAAGGTTACTTACTGTCATCTCCAACGGGACCTGCTGGTTACTTTCAAGTTTTGTCAGTTTAGTGCTTAAAAAAGAAAAAAACAAAACAAAAACAACAAAAAAAACTGTTCAGAGAACAAACACTAATCAACTTGGTAATTTTCACTTCATGTCCCGCAAAAACCTTAAGTTTTTCCATATATAAACACAGAACAATGTGCAGTAAGAACTATTAGAACCCCTAGGTCGCTACCAAATTTGTCTACAAAAAACAAAGGCCATGAACACCAAAGATGGCTATGAAGGTAAACAGCTACAATGACCATGCTTTTCCAAATAAATATCACTACTGTAAAGACACTTCTGCTGAAGAAGGGCTAGATGGGAGAGCAGAACACAGAGCGTGAAGTGGGCAAAGTATAACCACTTTCTGATTGAGATTTTCAAGGGTTCAGACTTATCTAGGGATGCCTCAAGTGAGAAGATAAAGCTATCAGTAAGACCTCATGGGACAGAAAGCACTATATGTATGTAACAGATGATATTAGAACTCACAACAGAAAGGATAAAAAAACTATACAAGCTCAGTTTCTTTTTCCCCACTACCTCCATCCAGCAGGGATATAGCTTGCATAGATCAGAGTAGATAGAAAAAATTTAAAAATTTGACCGGTGTTGGAATCAGGCAATATATATATATTCTTACTTTAAACTTCACATTTAAGACAATTATGCCTTTTTAATTCTGAATAACTGATCTGCAGAAACAATTCCTCTCCCTTCCCCATTTCAGAATGAATTAAAGCAGAAACTTCAGATGTAGGATTCCCTGCATAGTTCAAGATTGCTGTGATGAATCAAAGAAGCTTAGCATTAATTTATTGAAATGCTCCACAAGTTACCTGCTTGGACAGTGCCTTTTAAAATTAAATTCATACATTCTGTTGGAGTATGTGACAGATACCTTCCTTTTCCCTGCTCTCTTTTGAATCTAAAAATGGCTTCAGGAGCTTCTATAAATCTGCACTTGTCAAGGCATCTAGAAGTCATGAGAAAAGTAAAAACCCTCAGTTGCTCTCCCATACATTAACAGCTGCACACAAGCTATTTTGCTACAAGCCTATACAAGCCATTACAACAAGAACCTTCCATTACTCTTTAAGAAAATTTGGCATACATATTATGCTGGAAACACATACATATTTAAACCAGATGGCTAACTTTTGCTTGGAAAGGGGAAGATCCTAATGTATATCCTTTAAGTTTCAGAAATTGAAATTAATTTGATAAAAATTTAGTAAGTGTGAGCCAACACAGACAAAAAAAATTGTTTCTTCTAACTTAAACACCTTATTCACTGGCAAGACAATGGCTCCTTCACAGAATGACACTATCTCAACTTGCAGAAGTCCCTACATTTTAAAAAAATCCCTAAGCCCCAAAAAAGCCCAAACTCCCAAGTAAACTTAGTCCTGCATTTCCTCTCCCTACACACTTTAATTTTGATGAACTTTACAATTTACCAGGTTTCAGTTTTGCAAAATTGAATTGTGTAAGTTTTTAACAAGCAATGGTGGAATAAAGTTAGTATTACGGATAATTTCACTGCTGCTGCTCTTAAAGCATGGGGGACAGCTCTTTCCAGATCATTAAGGCAAATCCTTACTGGAGGGCCCTGTGATAGGACTTATTTCTGCCATGAAATATCACTTTTTAGGTCCGTATCTTGCTCAGTACCCTTCAGAAAAATTTGCTAAGTTAAATATATATTATCCATGTAAAGGTAAACAAATGTAAAAGAACCTTCAGATAGGAAGTTTTTCCCTATTTAACAAATAAACCTTATTAATAAAATATGCTCTATTTCTCATCTTAACATATTTTCCAGTTCTAGAAATTAGCAATAATTTCCAAAATTGGAAAGAAAAAAACACGTATTTTGTCCCTTTAAAATAAGTTGTAGTAATAGAATAAGCAGAAAGACAAATGCTTCTATTTTAATGTAGTTGCATAGTTATTCCTGGATTATTTCATTTAATTGGGGAAATTCAGATCCTATTTTTTACAAACTATCACATGGGTGAAGAACTATGAAAAGGCTCTTCATGTAGTTTAAGAAAATTACAAAAATAAGCAGCACGAAGACAAGGATAAGAAAACACCAGCATAAAGCGGGCTGTGGGTATGTGCAAAAAAATACAGTTCCAAGGAGCAAATTCCAGAGACTTTATGTAGAAATAATAAGGCAAACCAGGTTCACAGTAACGTGTTATGCGCCTAGCAGAAAGGAGTAGTCTTGAATTACAACTGTGACTGGTAGTCTCTGGCACTGCCAGTGGTTTCCGGTACAGCTCCAGCGTATCACCATTTCTGTGTCCCAGTTTCCAAATATAAAGTTGTGATAGTTCCTACCTCTCCACAAGGGTGATTAATCACTTTGCCTTTTACAGATTTAAACCCTGTTCAAGGAGTAAGCACCAGTGCTACTGCTAGAGTATAATGGCAATGTAGCACATACAAGAAGCAACACATTTAAAATTTTGCAACCGTTTTGGAAAGCAGAGATAACTAGAAATACAGCAACGGTACCCCTCCCCACAACAGTCAACCCTGCTTTAACACCACAGTCTTCTGCCAGTTTCACATTACGTTTGTAGCAAGATGTAGTTTTATTGGTAAAAACAGCCCCATTCTTAATCTTCTCTCCATATAAATTCATCAAAAAGGCAAACAAAAACCAAACCAGCATATAAAGAAAAAAATACTGATAAAAGCTAATCTGCTTGTTTGCACAAATATAATCATAACATAGAAAATATGGCTTATACTTCAAGTTATGATCCAAAACAGACATGAGTGTGAATTCAAGACTACAATTCTGTTATAAACCACAAGTGTCTTTTTAAAAATTATTTTTAACAAAAAAGATGCTAAAAAGCCCTCAAGCAACTCCTCTCTACCAGCTATTTAAAAGATTACAGAAGTCACTTAAAGGACACCAAAGATAACTCATCCAAATATGCATGAGTGAAGAAAAAATATTTAAGGGGACTAGTTCCTTTCTCACAGAAGCTTTCAGGTCTCAGCAAATTCAGTAAGAAATGACAGCCCGATGCCTACCAAGCTGCCTTCTTGCAAGGTATCAAGTAGAGCAGCATCAGGGTCAGCTCCATTTGTCAGAATTCATACTCCCTGTGGCACAACTGCTACGTTTTTCTAGTTTAAGCTGGAAATAGCCTGGGCTTATTTTTAATCATAGTAGCAGCTGACTTCAATACAGTGGCAGAAGATGATTCCCACCAGAGTGACAGAAGAGCACTCATTTTCCTCCACAGGCATAAACTCACAGATTTGTGTTGTACTAACCCTGGCTGAACACCAGGTGCCCAGCAAAGCGACTCTACCACTCCCCTCCCTCAGCTGGATTGGGGAGAGAAAATACAACTAAATGCTCAGAGGTTGAGGGAGATCACTCACCAACTATCATCATAGGCAAAACAGACTTGCCTTTGGTAACACATTTTTTTCCCCACCAAATCAAAGCAGGGTAATGAGAAACAAAACCTAAATATTAAAACACCTTTCCACTACCCCTCCCACCTTCCCAGGCTCAGTTTCATTCCCTATTTCTCTACCTCCTCCCCTGCACACTCTTCTCTTGCTCCAGCCTCGGGTCCCTCCCACAGGACAGAGTCCTTCATAAGCTTCTCCAAAGGAGTCCTTCCCATGTGCCACCGTTCTTTGTGAACTGGTCCAGCATGGGTCCCTCCCACTGGCTGCAGTTTTCAAGAACAGACTGCTCCAGCATGGGTCCCCTGCAGGATCACAAGTCCTCCCAGTGAACCTGCTCCAGCATGAGCTCCTGTCTTCACAAGGCCACAAATCCTGCCAGGAGCCTGCTCCAAAGCAGGCTTCCTATGGGGTCACTGCCTCCTTCAGGTGCTTCCACTTGCTCTGGTATGGGGTCTCCGTGAGCTGCAGGTGGGTATGTGCCCCACCGTTAACCTCCATGGGCTGCAGGAGAACAGCCTGCCTCACCATGGTCTTTACAATGGGCTCCAGGGGAATCTCTGTTCCAGCACCTGGAGCATCTCCTCTGCCTCCTTCTTCACTGACCTTGGTGTCTGTAGAGTTTTTGTTCTACATCTTCTCACTCCCCTCTCCGCTGCTATTTCCACACAGGTTTGGTGGTCAACACCCTTTAAATATCTTATCACAGAGGTGCTACTACCATCACTGATGGGGTTGACCTTGGCCAGTGGTGGGTCTGTCTTTGTGCTGGCTGGCATTGGCTCTGTTGGATATTGGGGAAAACTTCTAGCAGTTTCTCACAGAAGCCACTCCTGCTGCTCACTCCCAAAAACCTTGCCATGCAAACCCAATGCAGATTTAATAGTGGTCTGTAACACAATTACTTGTTAAAATCATGTATTATAGCTTTCCGGTTTGTAATCAAGAAGGCATAATGGAAAAAATGGGGTTAATTTGCTTTCAGTTTCAGACAATAACTCATTCTAGCTTGGAGGGCATGGAAATGTAATATGCAGTTAAATCAGAAGTTTAAACAGAAAAAGGAAAAAAACCAACACTTAAGGAAAAAAAAAACAACCCCAACATTTATTAATTTGAGTGCTTGTCTAATGTTGTCTGTGTCGCACAGGATATTTCAAACTCTAAGCATCCAAAAATTCATCACTGCATTAGTCTTACTCATTAGCTCACAGCTGAAAACAGCTTTAAAAAAGAAGGAAGGATTTGAAGCAGCTATAAAGGGAGTGGAAGAACATATAAGCCTGTTTGAAGATTAAGTGTCAACCAGCAAAGAACTACTGTCTCATCCCACACACCTGCATTTGCAACATTCATTTCAGCATGAAAATTAACTACCCCTGGAAGCAGAAAATAACAGTTTGAAAAAACACTGAACATGGATTTCTAAGCAGAGTAAGAAAGCAACAGCACAAATACACATCACAACTGTAATCATAAGAAAATTACTAGCTTCAAACAAGCTGGCCTTTTGGCTAACACTTGATTGATATAAACAATGTATAATG